GTCCAGCCCAGGACCCTGTGATCTGATATAGGACCCCGTGGTCTAATGCAGGACACTGTGATCTGGCCCAGGACCCCATGGTCCAACTCAGGACCCTATGGTCCAACTCAGGACCCCGTGGTCTAATGCAGGACCTGGTGGTTTAACACAAGACCCCAGCTCTGCCTTGGAACAACCACCCCATACAAGCAGAGAATAGTTTACTTCTCAGGGCACAGATCCCACACCTACACAGACCAGCATTTCCCTGCTTACTGCACTGTGTACATTTGTGGAGCCTCTCGCTACCCTAAGCACAGACATCCCTGGTTCAGGCTATTCTCCGGCTTAAAATCCTCTCTCTGGATGCACCAAGCCTGACTGACCCTAAGCTCCTTTTCCACATTCACATCTCATAAACCAACCCCTAAAGACTCCTCTCTGTTCCTCCCACACCAGCACTTTCTTTTCCTAACTTCCAACATTGTCTCTGATGGTACCTCAGAGACAACAGGAAAACTCCTACTCAGCCTTCAACACCTAGTTTGCATTTCCTCTCAATTTATGGCTAACCTCCTTTGTAGCTTTGTATTTGTTTGCTGACCAGGGCTTTCAGGGCCCTGAGATGACCCTGATCTCATTTGCCAAGACTTCTCACGGGGCTGCGGTCCAGAGGTGCTTGGTGCACTGCTCAAAACCACAGGGCTAGCTGACAGAAAAGCCAAATTCTGACCTAGCCCAGCTTCATGACCACCCCCCAGCTCAGCCAGGCTCCCTACCGAGCCAAGGTTCCAGGAAGCCAGGTGAACTGACAGGCCTCCCTGGGCCTCTCTATGCAGCTAGGAAGTCACCCTACTGAACATGGTCCTTGTCATTAGGACATCCAACCCCATCATTCCATCCACCGACATAACGGAGATGCAAACTGAACTGCAACTTCACTCAGCTCGCACCTATTTACATGGCCAGAGTTTTGCAGGCACTTCAGAATCACTAGTGTGTGTGTGTGTGCATGTGTGCATGTGTGCATGCCTATCCTGGCACTTGAACTCAGTGCCTGGGCCCTGTCCCTGAGCTATTTTGCTCAAGGCTAACACTCTACCACTGAAGCCACAGCTCTACTTCTGGCTTTTTTGGTACTTAATTGAAGATGAGAGTCTCGTGGACTTTCCTGCCCAGGCTGACTTTGAACCTCTATCCTCAGATCTCAGCCTCCTGAGTACCTAGGGTTATAGGCCTGAGCTACCAGTGCCCTATTTCACTATCATTATTTTTAAACCATTTCATTCTGTAAAGATTGAGTCTGTGCCCAGCATGGCACTGGAACCAGCGGTTCTGAGCTGAGCAAAGCAGAGCTCATGAACTCAAGCTCACTGCCGAGTGGCAACAACAGCTGGGCAAGGCATATGAAGGAGGGGGCATATAAAGCCAGAATTGGTCACTGTTGCAAGTTCTGCAGAGGCCCAAGGACATCCCCTCCCTGCCCCTCTCTGCCCATCACCTGATTGGCTGGGGTAGGGGTCCAGTGCCACTCCCCAATATGCTCACAGCACACATCCAATCAAGTGGAACAAATTCTTTTTTTTTTTTTTGGTCAGTCATGGGACCTGAACTCTGGGCCTGGGCGCTGTCCCTCAGCTCTTCAGCTCAAGGCTAGCGCTCTACCACTTGAGCCGCAACATTACTTCTGGATTTTGCTGCTTATGTGGTGCTGAGCAATCAAACCCATGGTCTCATGCATGCAAGGCAAGCACTCTACCACCAAGCCACCTTCCCAGCTCAAATGGAACAAAATTCTCACAAGTTTCCTCCATAGGAGATCCGAGGGAGGCTTCTTAGAATCCAGACATGATGATGCCAGCTAACTATGCCTTTCCATATTTGTCAGTATTAGTCTCCAAATTGTTTGAAGGCTGGGTTTTAATTGCTGGGTACATTTTGTATATAGGAAAGGTTATTTGCTGGAATGTTACTACTAGTTATAGTAGTAGGATACTACTAGTAGTAGAATGTTACTACCGGGAGGTAAGACTGCAGAAGGATTGCTGGCACTGCTGCATTTGTAGCAAGGCATCTGTATTACCTTTATGATTTAAAATGCTCCAATAGGTCAGACATGGTGGCTCACACCTGTAATCCCACCTACTCAGGTGGTTGGGATCTGTGGATCATAGTTTAAAGCCATCCCAGGCAACAAAAATCCAGAAGACTCTTCTCCAAGATGGAAGTGGAGCTGTGGCCCAAGTGGTAGTACACAAGCCTGAGCAAAAAAGCCAAGCAAGAGTGTGAGGCCCTGAGTTCAAGTCCCAATACTAGCACGGGCACTGGCATGCACACACACACACACACACACACAAAGAAAACTCAACTGCAATAAATAACACCATTTAGACAGAAAAACTATCACCCAAAAGACACATTTGCATTTTCATGTGAATTATATGTTTACATTTATATGAATTCTGTTTAGCTTATACCTATTTGTGTGAGTGGCCTACATTTATATTGAAATCAATCAAGAATGTGAGGGGTGTGGGCTTTGCACTATGAGTTTGAAGCCAGGCCTGCCATTGTCTTGCTATAGGATTTCCATGAGCCCCACGTGTCTGTCTACAAGGAAAAGCGTCACTCGGAATGAGTACCCGAGATGTGCACAAGAGCATCATGCAAGAGCATCAGGAAGCATGCTATTGAAGCATGCTATTTTTACTTTGAGAGAGCTCAAAATATGTCATGAGAAGGGATTTAATTTATTCTAAGTATACCCCAAAACATGAACTAAAGACTGACTGAAACTGTAGAGAAGGCTTTCATTTGGATAAAAGGAAGAATTTTTAACCACATATCCAACAGCATACAGGCTGATTTTGGAGGAGGTCACATCTCTGTGAGCACAGTACACAGGTCCCTGGGGATGATGTGACAAGACAGGACACTGCCCTCAGTAAGGAGAGAGTACACAGCACCCAGATAGGTGCATGGACATGGACCTTGGATACAAGCCAACGAAACGAATGATTTGGTGGCAAAACCCTGAATTAGATCTCAAAGTGTTCTCGTTGAACTACATCTCATAGTTTGGTGGGTCTGTTTCATCATGCTTCATCTTATTGTGGTAGGAACATTTGACCTGCCCTCTGCTCTCTGAACAGACTGCTGAATGTATGAGTGAGTACTGTTCAACGCATGCATTTGTACAGTACATCTCCAGAACGCACTTGCTTTGATGGGAAGATCGCTGGTGTAATGAGAGTGTTACATCCTTTTTATTTTTTGGCAGTTGTGGGGTTTGAACTCAGGGCCCGAGCACTGTCTCTGGTTCTTTTTGCTCAAGGCTGGCATTCCATTACTTTAATCTCTAGCACCACTTCTGGTTTTTAAGTTGTTAATTGGAGATAAGAGTCTCATGAGGATTTTTCTGCCCGGGCTGGCTTGAACCACGATCCTCAGATCTCAGCCTCCCAAGTACCTAGGATTACAGGTGTGAGCCACCACCAGTGCCCAGCACGCCCGTTTATTTTCAATGCAGCGGTATCAGATGGGTGTTTGTGAGTGGTTGGCTTATTCTCATCTTGCAGCAGCTTGTGCCTCTGCGATGTGGCTGCCTGGCAGCCCGATGCAGCTTCATGCGCCCTGCATTGGTTTGTGTGGTTGCAGGGAAGGGTTCTCTTTACAGATGACTCCAACCCAAAGATTGTGTAAAGTCTGAACTACTTTTCCAAAATTTAATTATGAGCCAAACTTAAAAAGAGAAAACATAAAAGACAATTCCCATCTTTACTAGGGTACAGCCAGGGTTGGCTGGGGTCAGTGACCTGGGAGAGATCAAATGGGAGCAGATGGCCTCCAGAAAAGAATTCCAGTTCTTTTCTGGAGTCAGGCTTTGGCCTGACTTCCAGTAGGGTGTCTCAGGACCACCAGGTTGGGGAGAAGGGGAGGAGCTCATGCTTTTGCTGGGTATTTGCCAGCACTCATCTTTGTTTGTGTTCATTTTACCCCAACTTCTAGCCTCTCAAGTATGTTCAGTCCTATTATCGCCTGAGAGCCACAAATGCCCCATGTCCTCTGAAACTCTGTCCCTGGGGAATCATCTGGAGTGCATCACCACGTTGGTGATGCTCACATCAGCACCAGAGGGCGAAGCTTAGCCTATCATCACTCATTCAGTCCAGGGAATGTTATAAACATGCTACACTTATTGAGACCAGAGAGCAAGTGATCAATTTTGTTAAATAATAAAGCTGGGGGAGAGTCCATTCATGCATTCATTCATTCGTTTGTTTGTGTACTCATGCATTTTCAACAAACTCAGCTGCCCCAGTCAAGTGCAAAAGAGGAGATGACAGCCTGGCAGCCCAGCCTCAAATCGGAATTCTGCCTCCAACACACACACACACTCACACACACACACACACACACACACACACAGGCACACACATGTATAGGCATCTACTACGTGTGTGCATACACACACATATCCCTATATATAGACACATAAACAACTGAGACTGAGTCTTCAGTGAGGAGAACGGAGAGTCACCCCTGATCCCTGGTCTATCTCTGCACGCAAACCAAGCCGCCACCCCCACTGTCCCATCGCCCTCACTCTGCAGGTATCTGTTTCCTCATCTGTAAAATCAGGGAACTGTATTTTGCATATCTCACCAGATTTCACAGCTATTTTTGCCAGCCAGCTCAGCAGATCTGCTATTCCTGAAGCAAAGATTGACTAAACAATCCTCAGAGATTGTTCCTACCCTAAGAATTCTTTGTAGGCCTTTGTCATTTTCAAGTATTCTTTGGGGTTGGGGAGCTCTGTATCAATAATTGCTGTTCTGTTTTAAAGGGGACCCCTCCCCAATATAGGAGGGGAAAAACCTTGGTTGACCTTCAAATGGCCTTTGGACTGTCTCCCTGTGTATGTCCTCTGTCCATCCTCAGGCACATCATCCCATGTCTCTTACTCTGATTTACAAACTGAGATTGTTTATGGCCCTGGCTCACAATAACAACCACACAACCTGTGTTCGCCTTCTCCAGAAGCAGCAGCAGCACCACTGGAGAAAGAAGCTGGCAGGAGGAAACTAGGCTGAGAAGCAAGCTCCTACAAAGAGAAGGATGTCAGGTAGACATCCTAGAGACCTTAAAAGCTCACCTGGTCCAGGCTTTCAAGTTTAGACCAGCCCACCGACAGTCCTCCAAAATGGCCACCCAACCACTGTCCCATGGTGGGGAACTCAAACCCCAATGTGTCAACCTCTACTGTCTCTGTGCAGCTATTCCCACTCACCTGGAATCCTGTGTGTGGTGAAATGTCCCCTGCATCCCTCCTAAACCCACCCTTTGGGGAACAGAAGGACAGATCAGCTATCTCTTCTTTAGGGTAGATCCCAAACCCAAGAAGACCTTCCCATGGTAGTGTTTATCTGTCCATGTGCACCACAGATTCCCATCCCAAAATATCTAGGTTTCTCTTTCCTGAGTGCACATCTACTTATCTGAGCCCTTCTTACAACAGACTCATATGGAGAGAGGTAACCGGTCGGGGCAGGCACTCTCTAGGTCTGCAGAAACCCTGCTGGACATCCCCAATTGCCACAAATGACCAGGGAGCCCAGATGCTCTGTCTGGAGTGGGCAGCTGCTCCCAGCCCCAGCCACTGGCAATCTTGTGGGAAGTAAAAATAATAAAATAGAAAAGGGGAATTAGGCTAAAGTTTAGATTTGTACACAAAATCTGGATGTATCATGTTGGCAAATCATTAAAAGAATTGTGAAGCACTGAAACTCTTCACAGACTGGAGCAGCCTGTAGGCTACTTATGGAATCATGTTGCAGGTGTTAAAACTGTAGAGAATCGCGGAGAACCTCCTAGCACACACTTGTGCAAACATACACACTTGTACTCCAAACACTTGAAAGAGCCCATGACAGTGAAGTGGGTCATGTACCCCTAGAAGACCCTCCTGTCCAACCCAGTACCGGGCATCAGTTCAATGACTTCCTGAAGTCAGCCAGTAGCTGAATGACAAAGAGGGCCCAGGGTCAGAGGGGGGGGAGGGGGGGGAATGCAGGGGATAGTGCTTCCTTCTGCAGCTTACTAGATGAATGAGGCAAAGTAAACCAAGACAATGCATGGCGGCTGGGCACCTGAACCTTCTTCCTCCCATACTTAACTGCACACAGCTGAGCAGTGCACCCATGCAACAGTTCTCTGACAAAAATGGAAGGTTGGGAAAGAACTTTCTGGAACTCTGAGCTAACTTAGAGGGGTGTCTTAAGGAAAAGTCTTTGACTTTTAAGGATTTTTCCAGGTATAAATTATCAGGAGGAAACAGCGATTGGGGGCTAGATTGATCTCTGTTCACTAAGAAGCACCTGTCTAGACTCTGCACGATAACAAGAAATACAATGAAGTTCTGAGCAGGAGGGGGGGACTCGAAAGTCCCCTGCAGCCCAGCCTGACAAGCTCTCTGCCAGTCGCCACACGCAATCTGCCTGTCCAGTCACAAATCGAATCCAAGTTATGCTCCATAAACCAGGACTACCGTCTAGTCTGCCATAGACTACAACGCACAGAAGAGAAGCACAAAGGTAAAAACATTTCAAACAAAATGCTCAGACATTTCGGGAGACCTAAATGCAGATGGAGGTTGACCTTCCCACCTCCTTCCCCGTCGTTCGTTCTGTATCGCTTTGCTTTTTGTTGCTGGGTCCGGGACTTGAACTCGGGAGACCCTGAAAACTATCCCTTCGTCCCGGCCTTGAAGGCTAACGCTCTGCCACTGGAGCTCCCAACTTGGGGCTTTTTGCCTGGCGTCTCCGGGAGTTTCCTGCCCAGCCTCGTCTTCTAACCACGATCCTCAGATCTCAGCCTCCGATTCCGCACTGGAGCGTTGGAAGAGGCCGGTGCATCTCGGCTACTCTGCCAGCAGCGACTCCTCCAGCAGCTCCCGGCTCTGGGAGTCAACGCCGGGCCCCGCCCGCAGCGCGCACGCGGCTCACCTGCTCTGGAGGCAGCCCGCGCCGGGGCGGGGACGCCGGGCCCCGCAGCCCTCGGGCCCCGCGGGCCGCGCGCTGTCAGCGTCCGGCCGGCCCGGGCCCGGAGAGCGAGCAGCGAGCTTCCACACCGTTCGCGCGCGCGGCTGGAAACTTGCAGAGTCGAGGATAAAGTGTGCCGTGTGCGAGAAACCGGAACACCGAGACGGGGCGGACACTGCCTCGGCAGACGCGCAGGCAGACGGGGAACAAAGCTGTCCCGAGCCGCCCGGGGGGCGACCCGAGCTGCGGGGCTCCGGGGCTAAGAGCGGCTGGGGCGGGGGCGGGGCCGGGCGGGGCGGGGCCTCAGCGCAGAGAGGCAGGGGCTGGAGAGGGCGGGGCCTAGGGCGGAGCCTGGGTGGGCGTGGCCTGGAGCGCGGTGGGACAGGACCTGGAGGGGGCGTGACCTGGAGCGCGGAGGGTCGGGACCTGGAGTGTGGTGGTTGGGCCTAGAGGCGGAGGCTGGAGTGGGCGTGGCCTGGAGCGGCTTGGAGTGCGGTGGTGGGGCCTAGGGGCGGAGCCTTGGGTGGGCGTGGCCTGAAGCGCGGTGGGACAGGATCTGGGGGCGTGGCCTGGAGTGTGGTGGTGGGGCCTAGAGGCGGAGGCTGGAGTGGGCGTGGCCTGAAGCAAGGTCAGGCGCGGCCTGGAGTGCGGTGGAGGAGCGGGCCTGAGGCACGGCGGGGGCGTGGCCTGGCACGCGGTGGGGGGAAGGGGCGGGACCGGGCGGGGGAGGGGGAGGAGGGTCGGGTTGGGCTGGAGCTCCAGCCTGGTGGGGAGGCTGGTAGGGTCTCAGGGACCAGGACAACAGCTTCAGACTCCAGGGGTTTCTGTGACCGCCCTCAGGAAGCCTGGGGAGTGAGGACGACTCTCCCCCCTCCCCGCATCCCCTCTCCCCGTTGTAGGCATCACCGGGTATTTTGGGATATTTGGTGCCTTTGACGGCGGAGTCTGAAATAGCCACCGCCAGGCAGCTGCTGGGCCCGCTGGGGGGAGGCTCCCTGGTCGGGCCCTGAGCCCTGCCCCGTGGGCGCAGGTGAAGCCTCGTCTGGGGGGGGGGTCCCCGCGGCAGCCTGGCCTCCCAGGCCCTGGTCCCCGCGGGAGGGCGGAGGGCATTGTGTCTTTATTGCTGGGTGAGGACAGTGAGGGGCCCAGGAGAGCAGGGAGGGCTGCCAGGCTGGCCTGGGGGGCAGGCGCTGGCCTGGGCACCCCCCTACTTTTTTCTCTTCTAGCGCTGTTCCTAAAATGGGCCAGGCCGGAGTATTTTGAACCGGATGAGAACATGGCTTAATTCTTGTGACCTGGGCGCCCCAGGAGGTTCCTTAGCTCTGGGATGTCTTTATTTGGCCGCCTGCTGAGTAGCAGCAATGAATAAACAGACCGAATGGGCTCCTCTGTGACCCGGGGAATTTCAGCAGCCTGCCCTGCTCCCCTGTCCTGCACCCCGTGAGTGACAACAGTTCAGAGCATCCACTGGGTGCAAGCACCGGGTGAGCCGAGATGAGGTATGCTGGGGAACAGGCGCACCCCCCCCCATCGTGGACACTGGCCAAGAGTTCCTGGTCAGAGGCGCGGGACACAGGAAGATATGTGTCATCCATCGGGAGCATCTGCCTAGAAGGATTGGCGGTCAGTACCTTAGCAAGGAGTCCCGTGGTGGTGTGCTCAGCATGGGCCAGGGACTGTGAGAAAGCCCTGGGATGTACCCCTGAACCTGAACCTGCCCTTTCAGTTCCTGAGCTCCACTAAACACTGGGTGTAGAGACAGATCCACAAACCAGAGAATGGACGAGAGGAACGCTGGGGCCTAAGAACAGAAGGCAGGCCTCTCCACAGAGCTCAGGGTCTAAAGAATGGGAGAAGCTGCTGTGTAAAGGGGACCCTCAGTGATGGTTCGAAGGGTGACCTAGGGCTCACAAGGGCCTGGGGCCTCTGGGCAGAGGGAAGGACCTGGTGTGGGATGGGGAACCCCTGTACCCTGGGATTGGGAGGTGGGTAGTGTGGTGGTGTTGAGTTAGGGAACTAGGGATTGAATTAGCAATCATCTTCACCTGGGGAAGGCAGGCTAGCCCATGCAGATGCCCAGCTTCCCTCGACTCCCTGGAGTGGAGTTCCAGTGCTAGAGGACAGGCAGAACATGGTAGAGACCTTCTTGCCCCCAGCTCCTTCTCCCTGCTGCCATGCTCCAAAGCCAGGTCTCCTAGTGAAGATGAATCTGTGGCTTTGACGACCATGCCTGGCCTCAAGGAAGAGGAGCGCTCAGTGGCTTCTGCTTTGTGTTCCCACATCAGGGGTGAGAGGCCTGGGACTGGAGGCGGTAAGCAGAAGCTCTGGAAAGACAATTGGAAAGCTCTCTGTCTCCCTTCCTTCCTCCTTTGGACTGCTGTTTCTCTGCCAAGATGACAAAGGGATCAAGCATGCAAGATGTATTAAACAGGAATAGAAGATCCACATATAGATCATTGTACACACAAGTATGCGGATACATGTTTCACAGAGGATAAGGAAATGTTCCAAGTGGCTTCTTTTTTCTTCTTCTTCTCATTCAGCCACTATGATGACTAATGCCAATGGCAAATAGTACACAAAAATTTCAGGGGTCCCCAATCACAATTCATACTTCTCTCTGAAATATTGCCTGTTTTGTATTCAAACCGTTTATATTTATCTGTCTGGGGTCATAGTCAGGCATTGTCAGTCCCTTCTCAAGTCTATCACCTTTTTCTTTTATTAGTCCTTGGACAATCACCCTAAGCCCCTTTCTCAGCATGACCTGAAGTGTAAATGCCCCAAGAGAAGGAAGGTATGGTGAAGGTATGTTTACTCTTAAATGCCTAGATTTCAGAATAATTTGGAGTACTTGACTGGTACTCCTGTAAATACATGTCCAATCAATAAGTTAATAAGTGAATGAAATGAATTGTGCATCTGTTTGGCCACTGTGGAATGGTGGTTCATGGGTTTAGACTGTCTCCCTCAATTGTATTACATGACAGCATGGGCCATGGAATATGTGAATCTCCTACAGCTCTACAAAGTTACCATGCACCCAGGAATTTCTAGATAAACAGAGATCAGTTAAAAACATCTCTCAAACACACCTTGCAGGGAAGAAACAGGAATTGCCCTCAATAGCATGATACTTCGTTGCAGAATAAGACGCATCCTACAATTGTTACTTGGAGGATGGGCTTCCTTCTTGTTACACTTACTCCCTTCTATAGAAGAGCAGACTAACAACGATCTCACTCCCATTTATTACATGCCTTTATTTTTGTGAAATGGGTCAATCAGTGCTTAAGGGAAACCTAAAGTAGTTTGGGATTGTTCCTTGGGCTCTTGGAAGCCAGGGTCTTCCAGTAGGGTAAATAGTCACGGCCCAGATGCCGGCTCTGGGCATATTGGCCTCTGTGTCTGTGCCCGGGGGACAGCCTAGGCCAACCACCCTGAGGAAGAAGCGGTGGTGGCAAGTGTGCCCGGGCTGGCCCACAGAAGGCCCAGCAGGTCATGTGAGAGCTAGGTGGGGTCCATGTAAGACCCAGACAGACTCACCTAAGGACCCGGCATCCGCACTTTCCCATGGTCTGAGTGAGAACAGCCATGATTGCCAATTGACTACTGCACCTGCTCTCCCCACAAGTACCCTGTGCAGGTAGTTGTCCAAATCATCATCAGCTCTCCCTCCCACCCCCGGAGTCTCTTGATGAGTGGCATGGGTGGGGGGGAGAACTGTTTGCTGCAGGAGCTCTGCTCAGCCTCTTCCTCCACCTGCTCCAGGATGTTTTCCCGCTGGCCGCCAGAGGGAGGGCTTGAAAACACAAATCCAGTCCTGGTTCTGGATCCTTCTGTGTCTTCCCTTCTCAGCAGGGTTTCACAGCCAGCTTACCTGTACTGTCTCCCACATCCTTTGTTCCCTAGTGGATTTCGCTGTTTGTCAGCGTAATAACACATAAATACAAAATTTATGTGTTAATTCTTTTTCTCTTCAGCCAGAAATGAGATGTTCCAGGCCAGGAGATTCAGTTACTGCTCTGTTCCCAGGACAGGGCCTGGCCCTCAACAGGGAAGGATTGTTGAATGAGAAAATAGTCAGGGACCTGCTGACTCTCTCTCCATGTGAAGGATGGGGGGAGGCGGGTGTCTGTCAAGGAGGGCACAATTGGAGAGGAGGAAACAAAAATCTGGATCAGGAAATGTGCCACCACCAGGTTTGAGGGACCTAGGAAGAGCAGTAGACCGCCCAGGCTGGAGCTCTGCAGAGGCGGACAGCAGGGCTTGCATGTGAGAGGGGAACACAGAGGTCTGGGGCTAATATCACTCCAGGCAGATGGGGAAACCAAAGAAGGATCCAGAACCAGGACTGGATTTGTGTTGTCAAGCCCTCCCTCTGGCGGCCAGCGGGAAAACATCCTGGAGCAGGTGGAGGAAGAGGCTGAGCAGAGCTCCTGCAGCAAACAGTTCTCCCCCCCACCCATGCCACTCATCAAGAGACTTGGGGGGAGGGGGAGAGAGCTGATGATGATTTGGACAACTACCTCTGTCCAGTCTTCGTCCGTCCCACGAAAGACGGACGGGGTCTGAGGAAAGGTAAGTGCGGCCGCTCACCCATTCCCCAGCCTCCCTCAGCCCAGGAGACAATCAGACGCAGCGCGGAGTCAAGTCAAGCAGGAAGAAACTCGTTTATTAACACGGAGCAGCCCTTTTTAAAGCAAAAAAGAGCAGGTGGCATGGCAGGGGAGGAAGAGGAACCAATCACTGTCAAGGTCACACCCTATCATGCACCTAAGCTTCCACGGGCTGGTTACGCACTGAACGTAAGGCAAATTGGGCTCTGCCTACTCAACTCCCTCTCAGCGCCATCTTTGCTGCCCATGTGCTCCACATACCTCCACAGGGTGCTTGTGGGGAGAGCACGTGTAGTCAATTGGCAATCATGGCTGTTCTCATTCAGACCGTCAGAAAGTGCACATGTCCAGTCCTTAGGTGAGTCTGCCTGGGTCTTACACGGACCCCACCTCGCTCTCACATGGCCTGCTGGGCTTCTGTGTTAGTTGCAACTATCTATTAAGAAATACAATCCCAGTTTCCTTTGTATTGGGCCTTGACCCAGGTTCTTTTCAGAATAACTCAAAGCAACGACTTAGCTGATATTGCGACCCCGTCCTGGGCTGTCTCCCCTGTGCAAGGCCCCCAGGCCCCATGCTTCCTTATTTTAGAAATTAAATCTCTCTGCTAAGTTCCACGCTTGCTCCCCCCGCCCCCGGGAAGGTTGGATGGCACATTCCCATGGGTCTTCCCTGTCTTCCTTATCATCTCGTGGGCAGTGCCTCAAGTGACTCGCTTCCACTTTACGAGAGAAGCCTCCGAGGTTAATGTAATCTGTCTTCCAGCTAGGAAAAGGCTGAGCCATTCCCCGATCTAGAAATTAATCAAGTGGTGTGCAGTTATCAAAGCGAACCGGAACAAACATTAATTAAAAAAGGACGATTCTACTTCTGAGGATGTATTATTTATGAGCAAAGTGATATTCCAAGCATGTTTAGCTTAGCATCCGTTAGGAGAGAAAATTAGACAATAATCAAAATATTGCACCCAGAAGAGTGGCTTCAACAGAGTCTAGAAAGTTGCTTGCGTGGTAAGATAGGGGTTGTGTTCATGACTATATCAAGAGGTCCATACTGTAGTATTAAACAGAAAAAAATGAAGCAAATTAGTAAAGCAGAACTCCCCATTTCTCCTTTCAGAAACCATGGCTGAAGCGATTCTTTGTGGCTCTGTGCTCTATGCATTCAAGAAGTCTAGTCTGATACAGATGCAGACATTCCCTCTTTCATAAAGTGGAAGCATATGCTACAGCTCTCATTTTGTAGCATGATTTCCTCACCTAACAATACATCTTGGGCACCTGACAATTGCTGTTTAATTTAGCCCTGTCTCATTCTGTTGATGACCTCTTTGCATTCTCTTTCATTTTGATCTCACCAACACTTCATGCTTATTAGATACCAGAGACAATGCTTGATATAGCGTCACGAAGCTCAGCATAGTATACTGAAACTTCCTCCAGGATCCTTCAATTGCTACCTGGTTAGCTCTATTGTTTTTCAGTTAAAACATACTGCAATAAATAGCTTTGTATAGACTGTTGGTCTCTGGAATCCATGGCTTCCATACTCATCCACAGATTAAAATTATAAAGGAAGTTGCATCTGTACTGAACATGTCCAGTCTTTTCTTTCCCTAAACAATCCAGTGTAACAACTACTATTTACATAGCACGCACTTTGCATTAGGTGCCACAAGTGAAGTAGGGATGATTTAAACTATACGACAGATGCTGCACAGGTTCAGCGCAAATACCACACATTTGATGTAAGACTTGAACATTGTAGATTTTAGCATCTGCAGAGGATTCTGGAGCTAAGCCCCTAGGACATGGGTGAACCTCATATTTCTGTTTATGCATGTTGAGGAGAGAGGAGGGACCCTAAAGTAGGCAAAGAGTGTACCCAACTTTAAATTCAGTAGACGTATATGTTGTGAATCTCTTAAATATTGGAGCCCAGCAAAGAACCATGGCTTTATCCTGGGCAGCTGTGATGCTGGTTGACAGACCCCTGAAGAAAAAGACCTGCCCCACACATGCCTCTCATACAACAACAGCTCTTGCTCAGAGGATGACCTGTGATGCGTGCCCCAAGGACTTGCGTACAATAAATACATGTGTGGGTGCAGAGATGGCCCTATTGTTAATCCCCATGGTGAAGACCAGAAAACAGAAGCGCAGAGAAGTTGAAGACTTGCTTGATGTTGCACTGCCAAGAATACATGGTCCCCAGACATCCATCTGCATCCCTGGGCTGGGAGGTGAGGATGGACTGAGTGGTCACCCTGTGTCCGGGTAGCAGGAGGCTGTAAGGGCAGTTCTGTAGGTTTCCAGCCTATACAGTAAGAGCTGGAAAAATGGGGCTTAGAAATAACAAGGTCTGTACTTCCCAGAGACAATGCTACATGAACTAGCATTATCCATCCTGTTGCTCAAGAAAAATAAATCCACTTTCCTAAATTACATGCCTCGGTCCGTATTATAGGGATTATACACCCCGCCATCTGCGCTGCAAGTGTCCATCATCCTGGCCCTCTGGCTTCCCAGTAGCAATTATTTTGACAAACTGCCTGTGCTTGCTTGCCCAGCCTGGCTTTGTCCTCACCCACCTGTTGCTGGGAGAGTGGGAAGGGGCCCCTGACAAATATTTACAGAGTGAAAATAAACAGGGGTGGAGCTTGCAGCCCGGAGGGGCTCAGACCTCAGGCAGCCGCATGTGGAAGGCTGTGGAAGGAACTTTGCTCTGTTTCAAACAGCACAGAGGATTCCAAGGTTGCTTCCGGTCTGCCATGTACACGGCGGTACACGCACGTGCACGGGGCTAACGTGGACCATCCTGCTGCCATCTCTGGCTCGATAGACAGAGAACCTGGAACAAACAAGGATGTTTATCATACAACGTCATTTCCAGTGGCAAATGCAGACTCTTATTTGATACTTAGCCACGAGTCCTGACATGAGGCGCAAGCTCTCTGAGGGAGCCATTGAGTCTGAGAAGGTGTGTGGAACTCTGGGGGTGAAGGAGAAGCAGAGAAGACACAGAGAGATCAGACAGGGGCGTCCGCGCGTGGCCGGCCCCTGCTCTTGGAAGAGGCAGCTACAGGCCTTGCCCTCCTTGGGGCTGGGGAAGGTGGGCCCCGGCCATGGCTGCTGATCTCTGGAGGCACGGACAGGCTCCATTGTGCTCCTTCATCGCTTACGTCAGTCACACTGTCTGATCTTCACTTTGGTGACATCGCAAGCCAGTGAAAACACTGCTTGTCATTAACTTCTTCTTCCATGGGAACTTGTATTTTTATAGGATCAGACTGCGGGGGGCCCTTGTTTATCGCCTACGGTATTTGACTTCTCATTTCTATTTTATGACAACGTCATTGTTTTTAAGTACATCTTATGTTGTACAAAGTGTGGTGATCACCAGCGATATGCTCACCTGTACTGTGTAAAGCAAGTCACATTAATCGGTGTGTGCACCCCCAATTAAAGGTGCCAGTGAGACACCTTTTCAGCAGCACTGTCTCTCCTTGGGGAGGCAGACCAGGCCTCAGACGCTCTCCCGGTTCTCTTTTCACATGTAACACATCTCTGATTGGCTCTGGCAGATTCCCTTTTCACGTTTAAAGTCTGTGATTGGCTCTGGCAGGTTCTCTTTTCACACTTAACACGTCTCTGATTGGCTGAGGCACGCAGCAGTTGGTTCCAGCCCCAGAAAAGCCCAGTCATCTCTCTGGCAGAGGCCAGGGATGATTCTGATGCGCTTGTGCTTGGACCACGTGCATAGCAAACAGCGCTAGTTACTCTGATACTTGAGAAGGAAAGGACCCCATCCTCGCATTCGGATGTAGCAGCGACACCGAGGGCCTGGGGCTGGGCTTGGTCTGCAGAGAGCATGTCTGAGCTTCCTCCTTTCTGTCAGCGCTGTGGTTCCGGGCATCCTGCAGGCAGCTGACCCACACAGCGCCAGCCCTGGGCTTTCAAAGGCCTCCTCTCCACACTCTGCCCACACCACACGTTGGTGGCTGATGGAGGATTGGGTGGCTGGCCTCCTCCTGTCTGTGGAGAAGTGGCCAGCTTCTGGAGAGCCTGAGGCCAGAACCCAGGCAGCCATTGGTCTCCCTCTCCTTGCAACCTCTTTACCCTTTACCTGTGATCCCTTTCATTGGTGGTTCTGGAGGTTTCCTCATCTTTGGGATAATTTTGGGACAATTGGGAGTGATTTCAAAGCCAAGAACCCCAGGAACTTCGTGTGGAGGAGGTTTGATTTGTGTCATCCTCCCAAAGATTATGAACAAGTAAGT